CTATTTCAAATTGGAAAAGCCAATAGCAGGCTGGCTATTGCACCCATCACTGAGCAGAGGAGCGGAACTGGGGTTATAATAGCCAATTTGCGATTGGCTATTTCAAATTAAAATAGCAGTCTGGCTATTGTCTCGGCTGCTTACATCCATCTTTCGCCTGTGGAAGCTAGCCGGCAGAAGAATGGGGCGGGGGGGGATTGGTGGCTGCGCAGCGGCAGGGGGGGGGTGCAAGTAGCTGGTCTTGCCTAGGGTGCAAAATAGTCTAGCACCAGCCCTGCATGTGAGGCACAGTTGGGAGGTCCTGGTTGTCTCCCCTGTTTTGTGAGGGTTCCTCTCTCAGTATTTATTTCAGCAGGGTGTCTTTATCCCCCCTGGGCTATGACTTCATACAGTGAGGACTGAATGTGGCCCTGAGATTCCTGTCAGCGCACAGCCGTCCTTTTTCTTAGGAGAAGCCCCTGACAATGAGAGCGGCCAGCCCTCTGCTGTGACACCGTCCAACTTGTCCAGAGCAGGGAAGGAAGAAACAAGGGATTCGTTGGCTTTGTTCCCCCTCCCTCCCTGCTTCTCTCAGGATAGCTGCTTGAACTTTTCCTGTGCGCCTTGTGGCAGTGGGCAGCAGTGTTCGGTCTCGGGGACATCGCATGCTTCTACCTCACGGTGGGCTCTCTCTCTCTGTCTCTCTGATTTGTAGAGCAGCTCTCTTGTGGCACAATGGCGGGGTGCTGCCTGTCCGCGGAGGAGAAGGAGTCCCAAAGGATTAATGCCGAGATCGAAAAGAAGATCCGCATGGATAAGAGGAATGCCCGCAGGGAGCTGAAGCTGCTGCTGTTGGGTAAGTGTCTGCCTGCTAATGAGCTGGAATGAATAACCCATGGGGAAAACATGTCACCCCAGGGGGGGCAGCAAATGGGGAATCATAATGTGACTTTGCCTGACTTCCTGTGCACTGAACTGATACCTCATACAATGTTGTCAGCCTTTTTCAACTACACACCAGCCCTTCTTCACTCATGTATTGGAGGGGAATGCTTGTAGTTCTAATCAGGGTGACAACATTGCTCATTCAAAGACGCGGTGAGTGTTGTCACCCTAGGACAGAGGTGGCCTTCCAGCTGTTGCAAGAACTACAAGTCCCATGAGGCATTGCAAGACGGCCAGTTACAGGCATGACTCCCAGAGACATTGTTGGGGTTTGTAGTTTAAGCACAGCTAGAGGGCCAGAGTTGCCCAACCCTGCCTTAGGACATGATGGGGATCCTGCCAGTAACACACATTGAGGGGTGTTTATCAAAACTGGCACCGACAGAATCTAGAGCAGTTGCCTATAATAACCAATCAGCTTCTCTCTTTCATTTTTAAAGCTTAACTGAACAAGCTGAAGAGAGGAGCTGATTGGTTATTTATGGGACTATTTTTTCTGCTCCACTTTTTATAAATCTCCTCTTGGGGAGAATTAACTAAAATTGGAGCTGTTGCTCATAGCAACCAATCAGTTTCTCCCTTCAGCTTGATCGGTCACTATGGGCAACTGCTCCAGAATCTATCTATCTGCTCCAGTTTTGATAAGTACCCCCTCCAATTTACTAAAACTGGAGCAGACAGATTCTGAGAGCACTGCGCAAACTAACCAATCAGTTTCTCGCTTCAGCTTGTTCAGTTAAGCTTAATAGATAGAAGCCGATTGGTTGCAATGGGCAACTGCTCCAGATCCTGTCTGCTCCCGTTTTACCCTGCATTCACACCTGCACATTTCATGAATGCACTTGTGTTTGTGTGCTGCATTTGCCGTGCATCCCCATTGAGTTCCATGTGACCTGAACGCGTGACAAATGTGGCAAAAAAAGCAAAGTAAGTTTTGCGACACTAGTCCCACATTTTTTGCATCTGTGTTTGTGCGTGTGTTAATGCGCGCAAATGTGGAGCAAAATGTGCGTCTTCCTGGCCATATTTGGGGTGCCTTTAGAAATGAATGGCAATGCAAGTTCGTTTTGCCACCAATGCATACCAAATGCACATAAAATGATGCGCTTTGGCGCGCGTTCAGGGAATACACAGGTGTGAATGTGGGCTTAGTAAATTCCCTTCCGTGTGTTACTGGGAGGAGCAGCAGGGAGAAAAAAAAAGCCTTGAGCCCCCATTTACACACAGCATGAAGCATCCCATTGTTTTCTATCACGTTGTATAATAATGATGGTGCCGGTTTACACCTGCTGGTGTGTTGCTTGAAACTTGTAAACGTACACAAGCTGCTTTTTGGGCAAAATCATGCGTTTTTGGCCTCATATCCTTCAATGGGAGCACATAAAAAGCGCATAATATGCATTTATTTTTTTTGCTTGACAACCGTCTACACCTCTTAGTAATTAGCTTTGTATTGCCTAAGACGAAAGCGCTGAAGCGTAAAGAAGTCATGGAAAATTGTGAACGAGGGCTAAAAACCAAATGCAGCCACCGCATCTTGTGACTAATAAAATACAACATTTGGGTTTCCGGGATACGGTTATATCTGATTGTCTGGGCTAAAGTGCGGCTGTTGTGGAACTGCAAGTGCCAGCATCGCCTTTCATTATGAATTCTCCCCAGCAGAGGAAGAGTACAGGAACACAGGAAAGGGGCTGCCATAGGAGTGTAGTGTCCGTTTATCTACCTGCTCTGGGACCCACCACTAGATTTGGCTTTGCTTCATATACCACCCCCGTGCCCTAGTGAGCTTATACACAGGTAGACAGGCCCTCTTTATTTTTAAGGCACACAGGGAGATAGTGATCTATACAAGGTCACAAGACGCAGGCATGGAGTCCTGACCCTTGATCAGTCATTACAAAGGCTGTAAGTGATGGGACAAATCGACGTACCCAGCATGATGAGTGCAGGGAGCGTGGGTTCTGCCAGCACATGATGCACACTCTATTTACCCGTCTGACCAATTTTTCTGCTTGCATTTCCTGCTCCTGTTAAAGTACACCTTCATCCTAATTTTTCACATTCCCTAACTTTACTGTCACAGGAACAAACACACACCCACACACACTGCTTTTTGTAAAGACCTTTTTTTCAGGTTCTGTTCCCTATCCTTCCTATTTTTCACCCAGCCAAGAATGACGTAGCACCCAGCTGCCCGCAGCCTCCTGGAATACTCGTGTCATGCCTGCCAGGGGGCTTCAGGGCAATGTTCATCACATGTGCCTGGGGCACATCATCAGGGGTCTGGCTGCAAGAACCTGGAAGAGATGGCTGGCTCCCTGATGACTTAAGGAAGGAATATGGCGGCGCTGGACCAGGAGTGCAGCAGCGGATTACAACAGAACAACGCTGGATTTGCTAGGCGCATGTGTGTTTGTTAAGGGTATCCCAGCGAAGAAGGCAAGAGGGGATTGGAAAAAAAAGTTACTTATTGCAAAGTTACTCTTAAGGCCTGGTTCACACTGAGCGTTTTGTTTTTTGCACCTTTTCTGCCGTACATAACGTTCAAAAAATATGCCCCCGAAAAATCCCATTAATTTCTATGGCCCTGTTTACATCTGATCGTTTTGTCACAATAAGCAAAACGCCTGTCGCTGGAAAAAAAGTACATGAGCTTTGTTTTGGCACATTGCAGCTTGTTTTGGCCCCATAGACTCAATAGGAAACACTTGAAAATGCATGGTTGCTGTGTTTTTATGCACGTTTGCTTATTAACATCAATGAGCTACAATCTGCTCACAAATGCATGTTTTGATGCATGTGCATAAAACGCACAAAAATGTGCAATAAAAATGCTGTTGCCTAGGTGTGAACCCAGCCTGAAGCAGAACTCCGGGGAAACAATTCTTAACCCTTGCAGTGGGGCTCCCCCCACACTGCAAGGGTTAAGTGCTCGTTTGTGTCTAAGGTAAAAAAAAAAGTTATACTCACCCGATCCTCAGTCGGCTTGCTCTTAGACCGGTCACTGGAGCCTCTCTCCTGCTCCGCTGTAGTACTCGAAGGATCATCAAGTCCTCTTGTTCTGTACAGTGTGACAGCTGGCCGGATCCGAGGTTCGGTAAGTAACTTTTTTTTTTGGAACCTAGACACAAGACTTAACCATTGCAGTGTGGGGGTAGTTCCATTGCAAGGGTTATGACACATGGGGGTGCTGAGCCCATACAATGTAAATTCTGGCATATTTCCCTGCTCCAGGGAGCCATGGGTGCTGCACACAGCCTCCCACAGAAGGTATTGGCTATAGGTGAATGTACACCAATACCTGTGCACAACCATCCATGTGTATGGACATTCATCTCCAGGGCACAGAAAAC